AAAAACCCTAGGTCCGCCACTGATTGTTGTTGTAATGTCCAGCATATTTTCATACATAAAGCAATGACTCACTAAAGTGTGACTGCTTTCGTTAGCAATTTAAACATTGCCAAATGTAGTGTGTGCACATCTGTTGTTGGTGCAAATAGCACAGAAATAGTCTGTTTTCCATAAATAATCATGGTGTTATAAACGACTTCCCATTGGCTGTGTTGGTTACCGTGTTGCATGTCAAACTCATAAAAAAGACTCACCTCAATGACCAGCCTCTGGCTTGGGGCATTTCTCTGGTCCTCACCCATCCAGCTTCTGTCACCTCTCTTCAGGGAGTATTCCTCTCCATTACCTGCCTCCGTCCATCCCCACTTAAATAACAGCTGCCCTGCCACTTCAGGCCTATTAAGATACCGCCTGCACAGCCACAGCCACACACGCAAACTGCAAAGGCCTTATAAATAGGTAGCATGAAAGGTGGAAAGAGTCTGGTTGGAGGAGATAAATTATTCCAAAACAGCCAAACAGGACTGCGACTACAAAGCTCCACCGCTCTGGCCCCTCTAGGTCCTCCTTTCAGGTGTCACTTTCGGCCGACTCAATTTTACACAGTAATGGACCTCCTGGTTCAACTACTTTTCTCCCACCTTCTCTCTCTTTTTTCTCACCACCACTCTCTTTATCTATCAGGTGCTGACAACACCTTAACTCACTTTCCTGGAACACACACTTATTTCCCGTACTGACTGTATACTTTGCACCACTTAATTTTATGTAACAGTAATGGAGATTAGCCCTTTACCGCAGACTGCTGGTGGCGCAACAGAAGTTCACATGATAGCAAGAAATTCCCTGCATCAAAATCATTAATTAAACATCAGCCACGGATTTTAAAGAAGAAACTATTTAAATCCTGGATCGTGCAATCATTGCTGGTGCAATCAACAAAAAGATGCATCATAAGTTTTTTGTGTTGCATCTGCATTTTAAGGGTATTTGCTTTCAGGCCTGTCTGGTGAAGTGTGCTCGCTCTGGTTTGTTTTGTTTTAGCCATGACTTTTTGGGAAAAGTTAAAGAGCAAGTCACCCCCAAATCAACATTTTTTCACTAATAAACTATATAAATGAGTGTCTAATCGTGCTGTAGACATGTGTAGTCAATATTTTGGCACTTTAGTGCATCTTAGTTAAATATTCTGCCTAAAACTGTCAGTGTTGAGCCCTCTTCAGCTAAAAACTCTGCACTGCATTTGAATTTAAATCTGCCATCACTATTGGCTAAGAGGTACGCTATGACGTTAGCTGGTACATTATGATGTCACAATGTCATTGTAAGCCTGTGTGTGTGTATTTGTTTGCGGCTCCGCCCACATTCTGCCAGGCAGCATTTGCGCTGGCGGTTTGTTACACTAGCCTGCAATATAACAGCGCAATGCGTGCACATCACTGCCGTTTCTACCCCTCCCGGTTGGCCGTCGGACCAGGGGGGTGCCTGCGGGGCCCCAAAGAGGGGGCCCGCGAACCGCCTATTGAGTACCGCTGGTCTAAAGGAACACCCAGGAGCCCAGACACCCTGTGGAGATAACTGATTTGGGCCACTTGAATCTGTGATCTCGTTCTTTCAGTCACTACCCAAAGCTCATGACCATCGGTGAGGGCGGGAACGTAGACGGACCGGTAAACTGAGAGCTTTGTAATAATTTTAAAAGTCAGCAAGTGTTTAGATTTGTCACACAAAAGCAAATACTGATGATTTTTTTCCACTTTTGTTCTACTCTTCCTCTCTGTCACATTCCCCGTGTTGCTCTTTTCGTTGGATCTTTGACCAAAGCAGCGCTTCTCACACTTCTTTGATGCACACTGGCAGACACATACAGCATTCAGCTTAATGAGTCGCGCCACTGCTACCTGCCCTGACTTCAAAGGGCTTGTCTATTTCTGTGTGGTGCTTCCACTCTTTGTTTCCAAGCTGTGTTTTCCTGTGTGTGTGTGAAGGGTGTGTTTATATCTGGGTTTCATATTTCCGCCCAGAGGTCAGAGGTGCTGACCTTTTACATTCCAGGACCTTTTTCTCCTCTAATTCGCCCAAATTTGGCCAAAGCCTTAGTGATTCCACCACGCTCTTCCCCCTCTCTGCACCATACATTCCTCTCACCCTTCCTGTCACGTATTCTCGAGTGCTGACACAAACGACAGCAGTGGTTTTTTTAAGTCTTAAATGTGACCAATAAGAAATTTGCCTGGAGTTACCTGTGACCTGTCATTTACTGACAGCTGGACCCGACAGAAACGATCAGATACCAAAGAACTCGTGACAGGGTCCAAACATTTCCTCTCAGCGTTCAGCTGCACAGTCATGAGCATTCACATGAAATCACTGCACATACAAAGATTACATGTAGCAGTGGGATGTCTTCAATATCGGTTTATGAAACATAAAAAGAAGAAATGTTGGGGACATGATAAGTCATGATAAGTGTTCTAATATTAAAAATTAAAAGTAGCATTAATGGAATAATTAATGGAAAATGTAGTAAAACTAATGTTACTTAGTCGTTTGGGGGCCTTTTTAATAAGAGTTTTTTATTTTATTAAAGTAATTTACCAACTTATCATAATTTACATTTATACTGTACTTTTTAGGGAGATTGTTATTTTTTTATCAAGCCTACAAAATCTGGTCATTAAATCTTAACCTGGAATATTACATCAATCTCTTCAGTGAGACTGAAAAATGGTCATCAGAAAATAAATTTCTACATTTTTGAAAGATGAAATCAGTCAGCACATTTGGGCCTCGCGTACGCCTCTAGAAATGTTTTCTGCTCTAATAGGTGGCAAGAAATACTACATTAATCATTTTTAATATTTAAAAAATAATTAGAAGGTTTTTTTATTGAAGAGAAACCGTTTTTTTTCTTTTACTTAGGTTAAGTCTGATCAGACACGGAGTTAAAAATGCAGATTAAATGTGAAAATAGTCCTTACCTGCCGATAGAAAAGAGAGGCAATGCTGAGATGAGAAGTTCATGGACTCGCCCATCTTAACTCGGGACAAGGAGGGATGATGCCTCGGCCCTGCCCCAGTTTTTTCAACCAAAGAAGGACTGTGTCCTCGTCAGCAAGGCGGTGTCTTGCTCAGCCAGGCGCCTTGACATTGAGAAACACCCTAGTGTCCAGGAAAGAGCAGAGGGTGTCTCGGCTTATAGAAGCTAGCCTTTAGCATTAGCAACGCCACAACAGGACAGAACTCCTTCATGCTCGTGTTATTTGTGAGGATAAAACATCAACATCACAAAGCAAACACAGTGGTAGAGTTGAGTTGCTGTTAGCCAATCAGAGGCGAGATGTCAGATAATCAGGAAATAAGACTCCGAATCCCGTCGTGTTCTGCTCCCCACTGAACTGGCTCACGTTCTTCTGGAGCGGTTTTCCCGAGGCATCTGTTTATGCTAGAGACCGCATCAATAGTGTTGAATAAACTAAACTCAGTCTTTGAGAATTGGCCCAAAATTCTGATTTATCCAATATTATTTAAAATTTCCTTTCAGTTATTCACCATTTCACACACGACTGAGGTCCAGACATGTGGAATTGTGGCATCAACAGGTCTTCTCCATGCCGTGTGTTTCTTCAGTTCAGCGACTAAACCAGGTGATTTCAAGTGGAGTTGACTTGCTGACGCCACATTTCCCATCTCTGTTATGGTCTAACAAAATAGAGACAAAAGTCTAAAACTGGCTCTGTTTTTGTGTTTAAGGCACAAAGTAGTGGCGGCCACGCTCTTCTGAACGTCCTAAACAGTTTTCACACTAACCGAGAAGTGCAACCGCAGCTGAAAATCCTCTTTATTTGGAATATTGTGGATGGAGTTTATGATCACAGCTAAAAATCTCAGTTTGGAAAACTCTTTCAGACTAAAGATGAACAAGTTGGAAAAACGGTGGTTTGGCTTCTGACCAGTAGTCCTGCATCATGCTGTGAGAAATATTCTGAACACCGTTTGATCAGGTGCTGTTAAATAATATCTGCACCACCGTGTTGCCTGTATGAGACCGAGTCGCTGGATCTGTTGGAAGCTTTTCAAACACAGAGGACCTAGAGATGTTCCACTCATGCAGCCTCCTTTACTTAGAGAAGATATGAAGTCCTGCAAGATTTGAGTCTTCCTCACAAACTAAAACTCCCGTATTTACCTGCTGCCACCCCTCCTCCTATGACATCTACCCTCATCATTTGCGTTCTTCAGCATGTAGAGCTGTGGAGACAGTGCTTGGTCTGGTGTGAGCCCTCCTCCTCCTCCTCCTCCTCCTCCTCCTCCTCCTCCTCCTCCTCCAGTGGTTATGAACATGAGGCGGTGCTGCTCTTCATAGATTTTTAAATTAGTGTCAGCGCTGGCCCAAAGATGTGTTATTGACTGATGAAATAGAAACTGAGCTCCAAACACTCGGTCCTTCCCCAGAGTTCTCCCCCAGCCTGGTAATTGAAAAAGTGTGAGGGGAGTGTGTTGAAGGCGGAGTGCAGCCCTGCGTGAGTGTCTGTGACTGTTTGTGTGCTCTTCATCTCTGCTGGAGAAAAATGCACCGTGCTCGCTTGGAGTCGAGACTCGATTGAAGTATTGCATAGGAGATCTTTATCTCTGCACCCCCCCCCCCCCCCCTGAAACATGAGAATTGTGTACAACTTTAATCCTATGAATACAGGATGCTTCGTGTGAGTCTGCAGAGGAAGTGAGTGAGATTTAAAGTCTGCCTCTGCATGCACTGTTGAATATCCTGTGGCTTGATCGCTGCGAGCGCACACACAACCTCGTGTGATTCAGTTAGTTATCACTGTGGCTCGGTAGCAACACGCTGCTGGGAGATTTAGCAACCTTGGCTCGTTCCAGAGCGACGTTTTCCTCTCAGAAGTTGTGATTGTTGAAACAGGAAGATAAAAAGAAAGCTATCAGACTGTCGCCCAGCATCTACCTCTAATTAACCTTTGTCGTCCTCCTTTCCTGTGCAGGGTCAGACATGGCCATCTTTTGTCTACTGTGTGGCAAACGTTTCCAGACCCAGACAGCACTGCAGCAGCACATGGAAGTGCACGCCGGCGTCCGCAGCTACATCTGCAGCGAGTGCAACCGGACCTTCCCCAGCCACACCGCACTCAAACGCCACCTCCGCTCGCACACAGGTCAGTGGCCTCGCCCGTCATCCGGCCTCACGGTTTGGTCTCCTCCAACTATCAGAAATGTGGTTTTTCAACTTGGTCTGCTGGTTGTCCACAGAAGATGTTACACGTGATCTTTTTCTTGAATCCGTCTGCTTCAGCTAAACAACGGGCCTTTCTTTCTACGACACGAGCAGCGACAGCTCATCCAGAGTCTGTGATGTAAAAATATGCACAATATACCTTTACTTACTTTCAATGTGTCACTGTTGCTTTTCACCACTCTCTCATTAAACAGTGCATGTCCCCAACAAACTCACTAACATCACTCCCAGCCCTGAGCTGCTGTTAAACAGCCAATCACACATGGTTGCTAGGGAGAACTGGAGACTTGTTGAGAAAATCACCATCGCTGAGTTTAAAGAGCAAACTGCAGGTTAATTTTTTCTAATTCATATAAAATGCTGTCCAAAAACATCCTGTTTGAAATGGTTACCGTGGATATTTCACTTTAAATACACAACAGCAGTTTTCTAGTAGAAAGTGTTTTTTCTCAGCAAAGCGACTAAAAGGCTCGTGTTTCTAAACGTGAACCTCTGACGTAACCAGAGGGAGTCGGACGCTCGGCTGCCTCCGCTCGGCGTGGAGAGCGGCTAGTTTAGGGTAGAGAGGTCATGTGATCCAGTCAGTGTGTGTTCACTGGTGTTGGTTGTGCTCATGTTGGTAAACTAGAGTGTGTGTGAAGGCTGCACCGACGCCAGCCCGTCTGGACATCGAGTCCCCGGGTTTCCAGATCAGAGAAACAACCTCTCTATCTCCGTGCCTGAGGAAACGACGGACTTCTGTAGCCCGCATCGGTCGGTACCGGGTCAGAAAGGTCCGCGCTGGGCTCCGGAGACCCGTGGTGGGGTTTAAAAAATTAAATGTGGATTTCTGGAGCTCAGATCACCATCAGAACCAGGTCAGAACCGACCACCAGAGGAGATGCGCGGCTCAACGGGCCAATTGGGTTATGAGTTGGAACCGGAGCAGAACCACCGCCTGGACAACCTGGAGAGGATCATGTGCAGCTTTTAAAAGTACCAACTGGACTGGCTTGCTGGTGTTTGGGTCGGGTCCAGCTCACAGAGGCCCACATGAGCTCCAGAACCGGATCACAGGCGTCTCTCTCTCTAAGCTAAACTAGGTGAACGGATATTAGCGAGTATGAGACAGCTGGCAGGCGCTCATTAGTATTACTATCATATTAACTGACCAATACTATGTTAACTGTCCGGTACACGATAGTAATCTGTACTATATTCTAATACTAGCACACCAGTTTAAGCTAGCATCGTGACCTCACCCGCTGCTCCTCCTTAATCTCTCTGCTTTGGTCGATGGTTTCTCCCTCTGGTTGGTCTCTGCTCTCCGGGGCGAGCAGCAAACTCAGAACTTTATGGTTCTGGTCCATCAGAAGTAGAACTATAAACATTTAAAGTTTCCTCTGTGTCAGCGCCGCATTAGAGTCCAGATTCTTCATTGGATTAAGCTAACAGGACTCCCTCAGCTGTCGTCACTTGGTTTGGCAAAAAAATAAAAAATTCTCACAAAAATGACTCTTAAAGCCTAAATAATTTATGTTTGTGTAAAAAAAACGTTTAAAACGAGTTTCTATTATGGTTCTCTAAACACGGGAGTCTCTAACCTGCAATTAGCTCTTTAATACCTCTGGGGTGCTAGCTGATAGCACCCTGCTACAGGAAGTAGCAGGGTGCTATCAGCTAGCACCCTGCTACTTCCTGTAGCAGGGTGCTAGCTGATAGCACCCTGCTACAGGAAGTAGCAGGGTGCTATCAGCTAGCACCCTGCTACTTCCTGTAGCAGGGTGCTAGCTGATAGCACCCTGCTACAGGAAGTAGCCTGCTAGAAGGCTCTGATCTCCTTTTACCTCTCTCTCTCTCTCTCTCTCTCTCTCTCTCTCTCTCTCTCTCTCTCTCTCTGTCACTCATTCCCTCATTCACACACACTCACTGTCGGTTTATTTTAATGGAGTTGACATCATATATGTTGCCACAGCAGTAAAATGTGTTTTATTTGTCCTCATTTTATGTGATTGTAATGTTAAAAATGACACACCTAACAGAATTTCTGTGTTCTGTTAGTTCCACCTACTACATGGCACATTGGGGTGTGCCTGCTTTGGGGAGATGAATAATTAAATGGAGATTAGTCTGTTTTGGCTTGCTTTCAGCGCCTCCTAGTGTCTGTTTAGTAGAACCAAACGAAAAACTTTTCTCCTCGCTGTGTGTTCGTCTTTTTAACTCCTTACTCTAACAGCTGAAATGTCTCCCAGCCTTCATTGGTGTCTACCAGAGTGATTCATCACTGAATTAAACAAATCAGTTGTGTTCATGATCTGAACCTTGCAGGAATCGTGCTGCCGTCTAACAGACCAGACGGACACTCTGAAGTTGCAAAAGCAGTATTCTGGCCAGAGAGGGCGGTGGGGGTCTGAGTGACATTTAAATAACGCTGTAAAGGCTCATTTTAGCACAAGCTGTCTCTAGAAAAGGATTTTAAATCTGAAAAAGTTTCCTAGAATCACTTTAAGACACTTGATGGAAGCTGGAAAACAAACTAAGTTTAAAATAAAATGTGCTAAAAGACAAAAATGCACAGCACCGGCTGCAGTTGGTAAAGGTGTACGTGGTAGGTGTGTGTATTTATCTGAATATTATTATAATATAATTTATCTGTAAATCTGCTTATTTGCAGAAGGGAAACAAACGAGTGTTCATTTGAATACTTATAATGGACTAAGCAGACCAAACCAGCTAAACCAGCTCATCCTGGCACGATAGGCAGTTCCCTTGTGTCATAGCAGACATGTTTAATGAGAGCAGCTTCCACACACTGCTACTGAGCTATAGGTACGCAACGATTCAGAGCAGCAAGAGCCTTGGCTTCAACCTTTCAATTCCTTTGTGGCTTTCTTCAATTACTTGTGTCTCCTACAGTGGTATTTAACCAACTAGACTGAGTGTATTGGCTGTAGAGTTCCTTTTCTACAAAATAATAGAAAGGTGTGACACCGAGGTAGCCCAGATTTCTGTAAAAGTGCATTTTACAAACCTTAAACGGCTGCGTTTCTGACTACAAGACATCAGTGTGACCAATGTTTCTCATAGCTGCTGCTGCATGGACGCGACTCTGGGTAAACGTGTTATTTTTCACCATTTTTCTTATCTTCTTCCATTAACTTCTGGTATGTGGAGGGAATAAAACGCTGCCAAAAATGTTGCATTCATGGCATCGACCAACAAAATGGAAATTATCATCAGTTTGCTTGATGAGTAAAGTGTAACACGACGGATTTCAGTGTCTCCCTCCTTATGTGACATCACCAAATTGTGGAGATAAGTTTAACATGAATGCACCGACTCTGCCCAGGAGGATCTCATTATTGTCTCCATCCTGTCACAAGCTTCTGGAGGAAATGTGCGCTGACTTCTGAGCAGCAGACGGGTGGAGAGTTGTTCTCAGAGAAATGGCTCCTACAGGTCAAAACAACCATTTTAAAAAATGTTCTTTAAACACACGCCGTGGTTTCTGTGCAGAGACAGCTTCTCTCTGTTTGTTTAAACATTCGATTTGCATTTTTCATAAAAGATGGTGAGTCCTTTGAAATAGATTAGTTCTTTCCAGCTTGCCCTTCTTAGTTGGGAGGAACTCAAAAGGAGGTCGGAGCTCATAAAAATACAACATTCCTTTTGATTTACCGGAGCTGTCACCTCACAGACGTGTAATTAAAGAACCGTACAAAGGTTCCCCCAAAATTAAAAAGACCTTCGTTTTTGGTAACGCTGGTGTTTGGTAGGGTAACTGTGTGTACGGATGTGGCCCTGAGGCTACATTAGCGATGCCTCAAAGTCCCTTCAACAGTTTATTTCAGCCTTCCAACCTTTTCCTCTGTGAATAAAAGAATAGTCTGTCATTTAAAGCTGAGTTGGATACAGAGGACAGGGACTGCCGTGTACCAGCTGTATGACACAGACGTGTTTTATTTTGGTAAATTGAGCTGAACTGAATAAACGGCATGAATCCAGGTCAACACAGAATGCATCCTGCAGCAGCCAGAAGATTATTTACAGCCACTATTTTGTTTTTCCTCAGCCGCTCTTCTATAATTCTCTCAGTGCTGTCTCTCAAGGACAAGGCCGGGCTCTTATACTTTTTATTTTCCGAGGGTGCAAAGGTAGCCTGACAGATGCGACTTTTCAGAGTGGAGAGGGAAAAACGTCGCCATGACAGAATATGAACACATGGAAATGAATCCCATTTCACCGGCAAGGAACGAGCTCTCTTCTTGTTCCCCCGTCTCTCAGCCTCTCGCCCCCCGCCCGTCTGCGACCTTAAATAACAGTCTCACTGTCAGAGCCGCTTTAGCTCACCAGCTCACAGATAAATGTTTGAAACGAAAGGCGGTGAGACGAGAGCGGTCGGCCCTATTTACAAGTCAGCCGAATACACCATTAGTGTGTGATGGTGGTGGGAGCTGTGGGGCTTTGGAGAGGTGGGGGGGGGGGGCTGCCTGAGCCGACTGTACAGTCGCACACATCTGCTCTCTCCACCAGACGCCAGGGAGGGCACACGCAGCGTCTCTGATGCACCTGCCATCCCTGGCGACGCAAATGTCACCTCAGCCCGTCGGCCGAGCCACAGATGAGACTTTGCAGCCAGTCTGAACCCGTCCCACCGTGAGCATGACTTCAGTCACAACGAAGCAGGCATTTAACAATGATGCTGAGCCTTTTGTCGGGGGATTAAAACGTCAGCAGCTCACATGGCCAGAAATAGGTCCTAATTTACCCCCCTTACAAAAACCTGCAGAGGCTCAGTGGGTCTTTTTGCATCCGCCCCTGTTTGTGAGTAGACACCGGCGTCTGTTCACCTTCCAAAATAAAACCTGTCGACCTTTTACTTTTAATGAGATTTTACAGCTGCTCTTGTTCCAAACGGATAAATAACTCATGCTTAACTAT